CACTTTTAGTCATCTGCTGATGATGATATGGTTAGCGTAAAACACTCAGTTTCAATCGACTGCTGATGCTAACATGATTAACGAGACAAAGTCCAGTGCCAAAGTGCGTTCAGTACAAAAGTAAAGTGTTTTGGGTGGTTTTTGTGTATTGTGGTAAATTAGTGGTTTTATTTTGCTTTTGGAATACCAAAGGATCCAACCTCTATCTAAAAAGTAATGATATTACATCTTCACATTTATTATAAATAAGTACATTTATTTAACACTTTTAGTAACTTATATCATTTTTATTGACAATGTAAAATAAAACCATCAGTAAATTTTCTTAAAAAAAACTTTTTAAATAAAATTACGAAGCTCCATCCAATTTTGTTCGTATATTCTTCACTTATTGAATGCAAATTGAAAACTCTTAAAATTAGTGTATAATTATTATTACTGGTGTATAAATAGGCTCGTTTATTTTAATAATTTTTTACAAACTGAAAAATGAAAGGGGCAAGATGATGCCGCCGACATCTACATTTCATCTAGCTTCGCTACTGTGCTACTGTGCATAGCTATTAAATATACAAAGTGAGCAAAAAGGAAACAGGGAATTTCAGTAAGGCTAATAAATTTAAAATAACCTCGCGCCCCGGGCTTTCTAAACAATTTGCCGAACTCCGATGGCAAATATTCTTAAATAGGCGACAAATTGAGTAAGCCGGGGAGCACAAGACACCATAGTGATTTCAATTAGTTGATTTCGCTGCGAAATAGATGGCGCCTGAGAGCTCCTGTTAGCGTTTTCTCTATAAATCATTGGCAGTGGCGTAGGGTGTGTTAATAATTTACCTCGATTTAAATTTCAACGGAATTTCGCGAATTTATGGCTCATTTTCAAGGTACACTAGTTTAATATTGACTAGTGTGTTGCAACGATATTTTGTAAATACCGATTTTACGCCGTTGGGGCAAGGCGCACAATGGAACGGAATAAATGAATAGTACACGTAAACGGTGCTATTAATCATTTGTACGAGTTTGCAAACTATATATTGAATAAGTTTAAAATATTGGGTGTTGTACGTGGGCAACACCTCATTTATTTTCCACAGTGCCGGATTAATCAAGCAACAATTGTAGCTGCTCGCACCTACATACATGTTAATAATACCACTAGTTTAAGTAAATTCTATTTTCTGGCATTAAAAGAAATAGTATCAGACGATCGAAAAAAAACGACGTCAAAGACGGCTGGGGAATGACAATCAATCATCATTTTTGCGAGGTCAAGCCCTAGACGTCATTTACTTGGCGTGCTTTTCTTTAATTTGTATAAGGCCTTAAGACGGTTATAATTTATTTTTATATGGGGTAAAAATAATATTTAAATAGTATACACTATCGGACAAAAGTAGAGCAACACTTCGAGAAATATTTGCATATCGCGATTTTTTAATTATACATGCATGATAATGTATACAAATACAATAAATTTAAAAACTACGAAGTAGGCTATGAGTATCCATGACAGCAAGAATTTTTACTAATAAAACAAATTTATTTTGACATTTAGTTTTAAATGCTTAATAGTAACGCGTCAAAAGTAGAGTAACATTCCAAAGAAGGGTTTTAACAAATGTAAAGGCAAAATAATTGTGCGAGGTTTATTTTATGTTTTTTAAATATTTCTATGCTGGATTAGTCATGCCAAGAGGAATTCCAATTTCAAAAGACTTGAAGCAAAGAGTTGTGAATGCATTCATGGAAGGTAACAAACAAGCCGCTATTTCAAGACAGTTTGTGTTACCTCGGTACAGTGTATCTAAAATAATTTCATCGTATAATGACAGGGGACACTTAGAAAAGTTGCCAAAATCGGGAAGGCCAAAGCAGAGAACGAAAACAACAGTAATGACCGACAGACGCATCAAAAGAACTGCTCAAAATGATCCTTGGAAGTCCGCACCTAGAATTATTGCCGAAATTCCAGAAATTACAGTTGGTATACGAACAGTACAAAGAAGATTAGTAGATGCAAATTTATTTAGTAGACGTCCAGCTAAAAAGCCGTTAGTTTCGGAAAGAAATAGAGCAGCAAGGTTGGCATTCGCACGTTGGCATTTAAACTGGACCGTCAATGACTGGAAAAAGTTTTGTTCAGTGATGAAACGCGCTACAAAATATTCAATTCTGATGGAATGAGACGTGTTAGGCGACCAATCAATACAAGGTTTAATCCTAAATACGTAACACCTACAATTAAACACGGCAAAAACAGTGTATTTTTATGGGGTTGTTTCTCATGGAATGGGACAGGCCCTATACACTTTATTAATGACACGATGGACCGATTTGTTTATAGGGATATCGTGCAGAATGTTATGCTTCCTTATGCAGAATGGGAAATGCCACTGTGTTTTATTTTCCAGCAGGACAACGATCCAAAACACTCTTCACAAGTTGTTCAACAGTGGTTTAGGGAAAATGACGTTCGAGTTTCGCAATGGCCAGCACAATCCCCAGACCCTAACCCCATTGAAAATCTCTGGGAAGAAGTAGAACGTCGTATTCGTACCCAAATGTTTCCAAATAAACAATCCTTGATAGATAAAATTAATGAAGTTTGGACAAATCTTCCCGAAAATGTCATTCAGAAGTTGATTCAATGCCGCGCCGTTGTCAGCAAGTTATTAATAATAATGGATATTCTATCAATTACTAATGTATTACTTTCAATTATTATTGTTCTTAAATGTGTTAAATATTTTTTGTTGAAATAAGATACAATAAAATCTGTTGAATACAATTTGTTGCTCTACTTTTGCCGCCTCCATTCTCATCAATTTTTATAGTCATTATTATTTACCATTTTTAAACTGATTAAAAGGACACCAACATTTTGTAAAATATTACTTTTAGTGTAAGGATAGTGTTTTAGTAAACATAGCCGAAAATCACAAACTAACATGAATAACAATGAACTTTGTCGCTCTACTTTTGTCCGATAGTGTAGTTTAAAATTCGAGAAAAAAGGAAATAAATTTGTGTCTCTGGAAACGTTCTATCCTTTTTTAATATTTCTATAATTTTTGTTAATTTTTGAAGTTTTTATGTCAATTTTTAGTAAAAAAAATGTAGTAAATGGTTTATCCCCAGCTGGCCTTTCACGCCGTCTTTTTTTTTTCGTTCATACAGTATATTATTATATCGAGATGTCTTATTTGTATTATTAATTGTATATTTGTTCTGCCTTGTTTCCCGGAAAACAGATAGCTAGCCCTCTTAAAAACGAATAAACAAATTTTAGGTCAACCCTCCTTGATCATAAATAAAAATCGGATATTTTTACAGGGTATTGATTTTGTTTCAAAAGCTTTTGCGTCAACTTCGCAGTATAAAAACTGGCATTAAGCCTTGAAGTGTCAGGTGAAATTAGTTCAATGGAATTTCTAATGAGCAAAAAACAAAGTTGTAATACCTGTTGGATCAACATTTCCGAACTGTGTTGTCTTTACCGAACATCTAGTTAAAGCTAAACAATATTTGAAGTTTTATTTTCATTTGAGATTATGTAGTAAGAGAAAAAATAATAAGCAGAACAGTTAACGTATTTATTTAGTAAACTCTTTGGCTGAAATGTATGTATTTTGTTTTGCAGAATAATACAATAAAAATATATACATATTTCAAATCTATATGGGATTTCCTAAGATATTTTTTGCTGTATAGTAAAGTTAAGTCATTGCTAAGTAGGATGGCGTTTTCTTCTAAATTGTTGTTTAGATTTTATAAGTTGGCGAATTACGAAAGTATACTACTAGTATAAAAGTGTCGTTTGCTTTAATAATGAACTTCCAGTACAGCAATTAAACAGTTTGAAGCTGAACTATTAAGCTATGTTTAATAGAACCGAAACATGGCATAACATTCAGATAGAAAGAAGTACTTTGTACTAGTGTCCTAAAATTGTTCAACTAAAATTCGCTAAAGAGAATTTAAACTGGACTCCACAGCAATTTGCAAATGTATTATTCAGCAACGAGAGTAAGTTTAACTTGTTTAGGAGCGATAGTTGTGGATTAAGTACATTGACTAAGAGACAAAAGATTGCATTCGAGTTATTTTGAGCCAACCATTAAATCCAATGAGACTAACAGAAGTTGTTGAAGAATTTCTAGAAAATATTGTTCTTTTCCTAGTTTTTTTTTGTTTTTGGTAATTTTCACTATACTTTAAACAATATTATTCTCTGGATACATAATTTTTTCAGTCGTTTTGATAAATTTGAAACAAAGCTTTTTTATTATCCCTCGCATACAAGGTGTATATGAATAATTCGACAAAAATTAGGAGCCGATTTCTTTATAAAAAGTATGGGGATATTTTAATTATTTTTGTTCTCTACTTTGCTTAAAAAAGGCGAATCAAATTACATTATATACTTCATTTTGATATGTCATATACGTCATATGAGGGGTCATATGTCATATTACTACATAAGTTAAAGATTAAAGTATACTGATGTATGCCTACTCCGTTTTTTATAAATCTTTTCTTGGTGCTATAGTGATGTTAACCTAAAAGTTCTGAATGGGTTGTTAATATAGCATATTATTTTTTGCTTTGTTTGCTGTGCTGTGAAAATAATATTCAGATACGAAAAATGAAAAAAAAAACGCAGAAATAAGAAAAGTTTTTAAAAATGTCTCATTTTTAGACTACTCGACCCTATCTTCTGAATTTTTCCTCCCAGTGGTTCATTTACACCCTGTATCATATAATTATTGTTGTCATTCTGATGATTTCGATGAAACTTTATTTGTTAGATCATATTCAATCGTTTTAAAAATGAATTGGACTAGAAATAATTTTTCAAAACAATTTTAATTATTTCTCCAATGTAACTCCATCTATATTTTCTGGATTTATTATTATTTTCCTGTTAGAAACAGATATATTAAGTGAAAAAAGCAGTTCTTTACGCTCAATAAAACAATGAAAATTAAACTCACCGTTTTATTACCAAGATTGCGCACTCTGCAGCTGAGATAAGCCGATTTTCCTACCAGGGCCGTAACGTTCTTTGGTGTCATAGTGTCAAAATAGGGCTCAAAACGGTTTTGCTGAGTGTGACTGGGCCCTAGCTGAACCGGTGGTGGTTGTTCTGTCTCGCTTTCTGGCTGCAGGGAGTTGAAACCTCCAGAGGACCTCGACATTCCTCCGTAGACAAAATTTCCTGCAAAGAATGTTTATGAAAATATTTTTTTTCGTGTTATTAAATATTTCTAAACATGTTTGCAATTTACTGTAATGAATACAAAAAAAAATCAACTATTTTAGGAGTACTACGAACTTATAATTTTACAATTTTACTAGTCTGAATTATGACTTAGACTTAGCCCTCAAGGGCTGAACTGTATACATTTCCTTTAATAAAATACTTTAAAATCCCTGTTATTGTTTACGAATAAAAATGGGACATTTCTTCCCATGCTGTGCGATTTATCCAATTCATCTTCATTTTTATGATATATATGGTTACGGAATGCCATAGGAATAATACATTGATTATCTGGATACTATATCACCAAATTCGCTGCAAATATATCTTATATATAGATTTTATTAATATATCATTCGAATTTCAAAATATGTTTGAATCTTTTAAAAGACCAATTTAATTCCAGATAACAAACTAATACAAACTACTGACAAAATAATTTAAATAATAAATATTAAAAAAAATATGGTTGAAGTGTATGACACAAGCCCTTTGTTTCACATTAAATTAATTTGCCACATAAAAAATATGAAATGTTTCCCAAGTACGGATTTAAACTTATTTTTTAGGACAGTTTGAATTAAAATGGCATATATGTTATTTTTGAGCATATTTTAAAAATATAGAAAGTTCTACAGGGTGTCCCTTAAAAAAGTTACACATCAAAGTTTTGTTCTTTTTAATGGAACATTCTATATATTAATTGTTCGGATTCTAGGAGAAAAATAAAGGTGAGTTTCATTAGAAAAGTATATGACTAAAATGTAAGGTTTTTGACATATTTAATATATTCTAAAAATGAAGAACATTTTTTGAAATTTCATCAAAAGTTACCTAAATTCGAATTTACCCGGTATAGCCTTAAATGTAGTTAAATAACTATTGTACTTCAAAAGAAATTAAAACTTGACATTTGAAATTATACAGGGTAAAACAAAATTAATATTGAACATTGGCCACCTTTAAAAGCAAATTATTCTTTTATTTTAAATCGAACACCCAGTATATTATTCCGATATTCAATGAAGAATGGATGTCTCTTCAAAATACTATTAAGGTTGCCTACCCCTTAAACAAAGATTTTCCTAGATATGTCCATTTTTATGATTTAGTGTCGATAGATCTTTATTATTTGATAACATCTAGGATAGCTGTGATATGTCTCAAAATTACTTCTACGTTGCTGTCAAATTAGTTCAACTTTAACAACTAATTATCATTTTGTGTCAGTTACAACAAAAAAAATCAGAAATTTGACGAAAATGGAAACTTATCTTACATCAGAGAGAATTGATATGATTCTATCAGTTGGTAACTGCCTAACTGCAGTGTGCATTCACCAATTAATAGAATACTTAAATGCTCCCGATTTATCTTTAAAGACAGTGTTTACAAAATTCGTCCAAATATTATTGTCCACAACATGAGAGAAATGATTGTGTTTTGAAGAAAGAATCATGGTTATTATAATTAAATATCAGGCTATACAGGGTAAATTACAATTTAGGTAGCTGTTATTGATATTATGTCAAAATTCTTGCATTTTAGCCATATGCTTTTTTTTTAAATCACACTTTTAAGTTTTTCCTAGAAATTAATATATAATGTTTCCCATTACAAAAAAAAACAACTTTCATGTGTTTTTTTGGGGAACCTTATAGAACTCCATATATTTTTATAAAATATATATGTCACTGTAAATGTCCGAAATGCGGTAAAACCTAGGTTTTACCGCATTTCGAGATGGTTAGCGTGGTTATTTGGGGGGTGTTAATTCATTGGTAAATCCTAGGTTAAGCGCGCTTATCCTAGGTTTTACTGCGCTTATCCTAGGTTTTACCGCATTTCGGACATTTACAGTAACATATATAATGCTTGCAATATTAAATACTTAATTAATATAAAATGCTTTCTTATTATTAAAAAAATTAACTTACATATACTCCCAAAATCCTGGGTTTCACCGCGTCCTATGAGAGGCGCCACCCTGTATACTGTACAGTCTACATTTCCCTGAAGAAGTTACTAAAATAAAGTCGGGGAAAATTTTTTAGACAACGCAGAATCTATCTAGAAGTCATGCCTATATGTATTTCCCTTTTTTCATTTGGCTCGTCTGCCATGGACGATAAAGAATCGCAAGATATTTTAATGCGATAACTTTTTGCTTCGAAGTGATAAAATAGCTGGAAATAGATAACACGTTCGGCACAAGTGCCAAGCTCCTGTCTTAAAAACCGTTAAAACAACGATTGATTTATTCGGATAACTTTACAACTGCAATTTTGTTTTAATCCGCATTTCGCAGAAGCTTGGCGCAGTCCTCGTTTCGTTACATTCGCATTGCAAAATGCTTAAGCATTTAGAAGTATTCATCTACTTAATAGTAAATAATATTTCTGAATTAGCAGTTAATTTTCATGAAAGAACATCGTATGAACAACGGGTTACCAAGTAAATTTGAAATTACGTCTAATTTTTGAACACATATAACTTTTATTATATATAAATACAATATTTGCATCGTGAGGATGACGTATAAGGGGTTAGATCAGATCAGATATGTAATTATGAAATTAAACTACGAATAAAACTGATAATAGGTTCTCCGACAGACAGACGAAGACATCCTCTAAGACATCCTTTAAGGGTTTCGATTTCTCCTAAAGGAAAAATCGAAACTCTCTAAGGTACGGAACTCTAAAAAGAAGCGTTTAAATATTTTTTAAACCTGGTTGATAGAGATAAATCTATAAATTATTTTTATCTTCAGTAATCAACTTTTATTGGTGCGTTTTTTCAGTCTTTTGTTTGTGATTCATTTACACAACATATATACGTAAAAACAAGCGAATGGCATCTCTGCACTTGTGAGGACATGCAGATAAAAACAGTGCACGCTAGCGAATCGTATATTACGCTAAAGGCACACACAAAAGGGCATGCACACAGTTGCGGAATCGGCAAAATGAGATTAAACAATTTCCGACGTTAGTAAAATATATTTTTTTAATGGTTCCTATAGCCATTACAGCGCGCAAAATGCAAAGGAGCACGGCTATGAACAAACGGAACGAGAAATAAAGGGCAGAGGTGTATTTTTTTATTCCCGTTTTAATATTTTACATTTAACGAAGGTGGATAAATAGGTCGAAAAAAATGCAGGATTCATTCGGTAAATTGCATTTATTCATACTGCCAAATTGCAAAGATAATAATAAAATTCGTTTAGGCTGATTTGAGGTTGAGGAAAAGACTGATTTGACTTCCCCTTACGTCTCAAGTGCTGTACTGTGGGGACGCCAATGTTCTGCGGTCAACGCATAAAACACTTATTTTCTCTAATCCGGCCAGCGAAGGCATATCGACGACGGTGTGGATCTGAAAGCGACAGTGTTACCATATTAAAATGTGTAATATCTGTAATACGTTTGACGAAAAGGTCTTTGGATGAAAAATCCGCGTTTATGTATTGAAGATTTATTCGTGTCAAACATAGAATAAACAACAAAAATTAAAATTCTTTTATAGGTACCTACTGAATATGTCGCGTGATCGAAAAAAGTCATTTAGTTGGCTTGTAAATGACGATTATTGATATCTACTATAATATTTTACATATGTACATATATGAAATAACAGCGATCTTCATTTCCAAGCCAACTCTGACGCCGTTCTTTGTTTAACCATATAATATTAAATTAAATTGTTTAATGATAGAAAATCCGTGTTATTAACGGACTGTGCCCGAAATCCGTAAATCTACGGATGAATCAGTAGTTTTGGCAACACTGTCTTCGACAACCAACTCCGACTCTGTCGACTGAAAGCAGAACTGCGGTACAGTATTCTCTATCCGCTGCGCTGTAAACGACTATCAGCGCAGCGGCGCAGGGCTAAACTAAATCTCGGAATTCTCGGACAGGCTGACGGTAACGCCAGCTACATCTCGGACAGGTTTTATGCCACGAAATTGGCCAATTGGGAATACAGAAAAATAGAAGAAGAAAAAAATATGAACAGGATTAACCATTTCAGAACAAACACAATTTTATATGATAAAAGCATTTTTCTCAAATTTCCTCTTATAAAGACAATCAGGGGACAGCGTAGAAAAACTAGCTCAATAAAATCACAAAGGTTTCGAATTAGCTTAAATTACATATTAAAAGTAACTGTTAATGATGTTAGTTATAGCTGCCATGATTATGAACCTGACAAAGTTCTTTGTTTTAATGTAAATAGTCATTTCATCCAGCACTTTAAATTATTTTTGTTGGTTTGCCACATTTTTATTGAGCAAAATGACATCTAAAAAAGTTTAAGAATGGCTATTATTTTAACAACAAAGAGAATGAATTTAAAATTATATTTAGTTGAAAAATAAGTCTAGTGTTACGTGGAAAAATGCAGCTGCACGTTTTCAAAATCAGATGCATTTTTGATAAAATGTATTTATTAAAAATGCAACTGTGAAAGATGGATAAGGTATGGCACTGTCATTTTTTGTTCACGTTTTATCGTTTATAGCATATATTCTATTTGATAAATGGTAAAATCGTTACGAATAGACAAAAATTGATTGCCCTCCCGTAATACACGTCGATGAAATTGTGGCATATGAAAAAAAATAATGGAATATGCGAAGTAAACATACGTTGGAAGTAATTCATTTAAACACATTAGTTTAAAAAATGCTTTCCTATTTTTCTAGTCGAGTCAATTAAGTTTGCATTATGCTTTTGAAACATTATTTAATGTCAAGTGTTTTTTTATACTCCTGTTTACCTGTGCTGGATATTTTTTCGATCACTGTGTGTGTAATGAAAAATAGGCAAAGCACGATTAATGTTAAATATTAAAGAACTACATTAGACACTTGTTTCGATTACAGGATGATTATATATTCAGTTTATTTGTAATAATTTTTCAAGGAAATTATTACTTTGATTTAT